CTACACTATCTCCTCCTTACTCCCTGTTTCCTTTTCGTTTTCTCTTTCTTAAGATGCAAACATGGGTGGATCTCATATCTCATCAATCGTGAAGGATTAAAACCCTAACAAGGTTAGGTTTTTTTTTTCCGATCATAACTGTTTTTGGGATTTATACCTATTACTCCATCAAACTTTGGAAAATATTCCCTTGTTGGCTTTAATTCAGATCAAAGAGGCACTATCAAAGAATCATAACAACAATCTGTGCTTGCTGGTAGGGTTAAAATATATGTATCAGGTAAATTAGTGTATCAGGTACATTAATGCAACACCTTTCACATTTTTTTTTTGCTAAAAGGAGTTAAATTAAATAAACCTTATTAAATTTCAAAATGAAAGGAAAAAAAATAATTACTTTATGTTTTTTTTTCTTGGATACAAGTTGATCTTTTGGGAGATGAAGTTGAAACACTTTTAGGGCTTCTATAGAAGATATATATAGCCCTTGATCATTACTTTCCGTTTTGAAACATTACTCAGAGGTAAGATTCTCAGATTACTAAAAGTCTAAAATAGGGTAAAACAAGAGGGGTATTTTTGACTTTTTGTCAAAATATATAATTTTTATAAAACATTTCACACGTGCTTAAAGACAAAAATGCCCTTCTCATGAAAATCATCCTTAAAAAGCTTGTCATGTATTCTATAAAATGGGAAAAAAGTTTTGTTTACTCATATATTTATGGTCTATACACGTATAAATATTACATATATGATATGATATATCAAAAGTTTGTGAATTTACTGATTTGCCCTTGGCTAAACAAAAATACAGGATGGATTCAACCGCATGACTTCAAACAAAGCTTCTACTTCTCCAATTATGGCACAACGTCCATCTTCTTACATGGATTATCAAGGAATGAGTATCAGAAACCAAGCCGAAAGAAAATGGGCTCTTGGACCTCAGGTAAAGTTTCTTGAAATAATTAAATAAATTAAACATTTTTTTCTTATTGTTTTTTATTTTTCTTTTTACAGTCTCAAGCACATCCTCGTGAGATAATGATAGACTTTCTGAAAGCTTTGCAAGAGCTGAATGTGTGTTGAATAAAAATAGGTCACTACAATATGAAATGTAGGTGGGTCCCGGGTGTGCCAGGTCATCATCAAGGCATGGTGAATGATTCTATGCAAAGTAATCATAACTATTGTTGAAAATGATGGTGGGTTAATTTCCCTAATGTGTTCAATTTTGAAGTCCAGGTAATATTTTTAATTTTATTTTGGTTATTATCGAGTTATTTTTTTGCATTAAGAATTATTTTGTTTTCTTTAGTATATTGGAATCGGAAGAATGGAATGGAATTGAGCATTCCCAAAGGCTTGATCATATTTGAGAATGGAAGAGTCACTTGGATCATTAGCAGGAATAGTTCCAACTAGATTACCACAATAATAAACCATAGAAGCTCTTAATAAATCCTATGCTTCCTCCTCTTTGGAGTCTATGTCAGCATTTGGTAATACACTGCTAAAATTTCCATTTCCATTTGTACCCAAATTGTCATCTGCTAATGATCCCAGTGACTTCCCCTCATGTGGTCAATTTTGAAGTCCAGGTAATATTTTTAATTTTATTTCAGTTATTATCAAGTTTTTTTTTTGCTTTAAGAATTGTTTTGTTTGGTATGATGGAATCGGAAGAATAGAATGGAATTGAGCATTCCCAAAGGCATTTGAATTCCGATTCCTTCCATTTTGTTAATTTTCATTCCGTCCTGGATTGGAATGAAAATTGTAATATGTAAAATTTTAAAAAAAAATCATATATTAGACTAAGGGAAAGATACTCATGAAATTCAGATTACTAAAAGTCTAAAATAGGGTAAAACAAGAGGGGTATTTTTGACTTTGTTTGTCTACTTCTCTTTATATGTTAACATGAACAATTTTTTCCAAGTATCTAAATTTTTTTTTATGTTTGTTCATAATATTTAAAAATTGTTATATTTCGATTATGATTTTTAAATGTTATGATATGAATATGTTGTTTGTACTTGATTATATATCTTGTTTTAATTGCGTTCAGGGGGTATTTGATTTTATGTTTAAACTTATTAATAATTATAACCTTATTCAAATATGTAGAGCATGCTTGACTGTTTAAACTATTCAATTTAGAAACCAGAGGATGTGTGTTGTGATGATCTCTTTAAAAGCTGGAATGAGTGATTGCTAATTGGTGTTTTTTGTCCATCCATTTAGCGGGTAGTTACTGATGTACCAGGTGAAATTTTGTTAAATGATGTTATTGAGCGGTCTTTATAAAAAAGCATAACATAGACTTGATATTATTGTCAAACCTTTATTTGATTTAAACATTTTTTATACAGATTTCGGTAAAAATGTTTATGCTGCTTCATGTTTAAGTTTTGTTTTTCATAGGAGGCATTAAACTCTTTATGCTTGACTTCCAGATTAAGATGGTAGAGTAAAGGAAGGAAGGCATCTGGTAAATGGAGATGTAAAGTTGATGGGCAGATCAAGTCCAAAATATGGATCGAATGTCACATGGCATTAACATGGCATTAACGTAGTTTATAGAATCAACTTGTTTCACTTCTTGTAGATGGAGATACAAAGTTTATAGAATCAATTTGTTCCATTTCTAAGATACATTTATGATCATAAACCATTGCTATTACTTAAGATTAACTCACAATTTAGTTTTATTAATTCTTATCTCATGCATGTTATAAATTAAACAGAACAAATATGATTCGTTTTTTTAGCCAAATACAATTACAATTTTATTTTGATAATTTATAGGAGCATTTTCTTGAAAAAGAAAATAGAACTTTAGAAAAAAAGAGATATGGTTTATTTGTTGTAAAAAAAACTCAAAAAAACAGTAGGAAAAACAAAGAGCAGTAAAAAACACTCAAGTGGGGTAAAAAATGTATTGTTTAAATAAGTTTCCTATCAAATAGTTTCATTATTATTACTGTACCTTTTATTTGATATTAAACTATTTGAAGACCATATATTCTTAACATGTTTTAGTTGTTTTAATGTTAATGGCATTTAAAATAATATAATTTATGATGAATTATAAAATAAAACACATCATATTTTTTTTAATGGGGGCTTTATGATATTTATCAAAAAGTAAAAGGGGCAAAGCTAGTAAGCAAATAGTAAAAAGGGATGAGGAAATAAAAGCCGACTCACAGTTGGAACAAATTTTTTTTATGAAAATTTGTAATCTCACCATAGTTTTATGTACTAAAAAAAAAACAAAGAGCGGGGCGTCTCCAATCAAATTGTCAAAAAAAAAAAAAAATTTACAGCCTATATTAGAATGGGTGTCTGTATAATAAAAAACCAGCTAAAGTTTATACATTATCGAAGTATTACTTGATTCATTGGACAATAACTTGTTTTCTAAAGAAATATAATCAATGCAATGAGACCAAATTTCTAAATAACATGAGATTTGAGTTTGACAGTAAAGTTAAATCTAAGTCATGACGAGTAACGTCTTTTTTAAAACGCGACAATTATATATATATATATATATATATATATATATATATATATATATATATATATAAAGTTAACAAAACTCAATTGTTTTAGATCCGAATAAAAAAACACAAATCAAAAATCAAAAGAATCGCATCATAAAGCGATAAGGCACGTCTTGACACGTAACTTGGACGTCACGTTAAACAAATTTGTATTTGACGTTTTTGGAACGGGTACATCATGTTTCACGCGATGACAATCCTTGATGCGTAGTGACACACCTTTTAGAACCATGTATGAGACTATTCACCAAAAAACTGATTCGACGCGTCGTAAGGAAATTAATCGACAAGAAAAACTATTAACCGACATCCTATTCGTGGCCCGCTGCATTGCGCGGGTATCCTACTAGTGTGTGTATATATATATATATATATATATATATATATATATATATATATATATGATAAACCCCTCAAAAGTAGGGTTTAGACATCCTACACGTACGCCCTGGGTACGAGACGTACGCCTAGCGTACTGGGATCCACCCTAGTACGCTCAACGTACACATCGTATGCCTTACGTACAAACATCCTGTCCAAAATTTACCACAATGACACTAAGGACCGATCTTGCAATCTTTTCAACTTCAGGGGGTCAAAATGGAATATTATTCAAATATATGGTCAAAATTAGAAGTACCTCATCATTGGGATGTTACAGTTTGTTCTAGCCATTTTCAGAAATGGTATTCCAAGCAAGATTATAGCCGATTTGGAGGAAGCTTGTTACTCTACTTCAATCATATAAAATCCACGGGAAAGATTAGTTGATTATCTTGAACTAAAACATCTTCTAAGACACCTATAGGGATAACACTCGATTTGTCCACAAGTTAAATAGTAATACCCATTCTATTTGAAGGTTAGATATTTAGCAATTCATATACCGAATAGGGCATGACAATGATAAAAGCACCAAGATCAAGCATTAGACTACTAATAGTAACATCCTCTATCTTGCAAGGAATGGTAAACATTCCGCGGTCTTTGTATTTTGGTGGGAGTTTTCTTTGTAAAATAGCAGAAACATTTTCACTCAATGAAATATTTTCATGTCCTTAAAGTTTTCTATTGTTAGTGAAAAGTTCTTTAAAAAATTTAGCATACCTTGGGATTTTCCTGATTGCATCTTAATTTCTAGCACCAAATGGAAAAAAGAAGAAGAAAAGGAGAGGCTTAGAGTTTCCAAAAATTAGCAACCCATTGAGAGGTTTCTAGTGAGCTAAAAGATCAAACAACTCCTCATCTAAACCCTTTTTAAATACAGGGTTTGCATCGAACCCAATTTTACATATCTTTTTAGGTCGATTCAGTGATTCAAAGTCACTTAAAAACCAACGAAAAAGGCATACTCACCCTTTTAGGTAGAACTTTTTTTATGATAATGGTTGATTTTTAATTTTCGTCAGAGTATTTTTTTCACAAATGACATCTAAAGGTCAATCCGGTGGTTCAAACTCACTTAAAAGTCAGTAGAAAGGACATACTCACCCTTTTAGGAGATGTTATTTTGTGGTAATATAGTAACTTTCTTGCAAACTTAAACTCGGAGTCAAAATCGAAAATTTGGTAAACTTAGTGATTTCATTGCAATTCCGGAAAAATGGTTACCGAAAGAATAGAAAGAACTAGTCATTTGGTTGATATTGCAACCAAATTATAAATATAGTGACATAATTAAAAAAAAAAGAAAAAAACAATATCAAATCGAATTTTTATGATAATATAATGATTTTTTTTTTTTGCAATGAACCATATTATACATGACAATTATGTTTAGGTTACAAAGTAAATAACACGGAATTTCGTAATTTGGTCATAGATACGTGATGATTGTCTGATTGATCAAACTTGCTGTTTACATCACACAAGAGAAAACAAGGGAATTTTGTGAAGTTCTACTGTATTACAGGGTGGCAATGTGAAACTTTTTGTACCGGCGGCATATATAAACCCCCAAGATTGACGCTAGGGTTTTATCTATTATCCCAGACCTCCTCCGTCACTCTCAGTGTGCGTTCATCGCTCTATATCTTATCAACGCCAAGGTAAATGTTTTTCCGCCTTCAATTACCATCTGATTTCATAAATCGATTCTATATATCTCGACTGTAAATCTATTTCTGTACAATAGCTTAGGTAATTTTACGATTCGGTTTCTATAGTCTGTTTTTAATAATTGAGAGCTATGAGCCGAAATTAAAAGTTTGCTTGATTTAGGAGTGTGATTATCGACTGTGCTCGGGATGTATGTTTAGCATATAATATGTTGATGTTTAAGTTCGCCATTTGTGAAGTTACTACTGAATATAAGATTATAAGTTTGCATTTACATTTGATTATTGATACTTTATCCACACATCTATCCTTTCTATTACTTGTGGCAGATGAATGTTGAAAAGCTACAGAAGATGGCAGGTGCTGTGCGCACTGGTGGGAAGGGAAGCGTGAGAAGGTCTGTCTCTAATATGTTGTCGTGCTTTAGAGAAGTGTGTTTGCTTATCTTTGTTTTTCTTTAAATGAGGAAATAGACAAAAGAGAATGTATCTGTATTGAATTGTTGTTGTTTACATGTTCAATTTGATCTAAACCTGCAGAAAGAAGAAGGCTGTACATAAAACAACCACCACAGATGACAAGAGGCTGCAGAGCACTTTGAAGAGAATAGGTGTAAACGCAATACCAGCAATTGAAGAAGTTAACATTTTTAAGGATGAAACAGTTATTCAGTTCTTAAACCCTAAAGGTACCAATTTTAAGAGTTGATTTACTTCTCTTATCCTTTTATTATGACTATAAGTTAACAGGAGAAATCAATAATCTTTGTTCATATGTCTTCAGTTCAAGCCTCTATTGCTGCCAACACATGGGTTGTTAGTGGTACTCCTCAAACAAAGAGTAAGTTGCCTTTAATATATATTGCTTATATTATTCAGATGTTTTTTGCGACTTAATGGGGGATATTGCTATGTTTTATATGAATGGTGTATGATAATATCTGTTTTTAATATGTTTTATTTCAGAATTACAAGATATTCTCCCTGGCATCCTCAACCAGCTTGGTATGTCTAAACTCTAAACACACCATGTTTTCAATTAGATTTTGTGTTTGTATTTTGGTGATAAAAAGATGACATTTTGTTTTATTGTTTGTTACAGGGCCAGATAACTTGGATAACTTGAGAAAGTTAGCAGAGCAGTTCCAGAAGCAGGTGCCAGGTGGCGCTGAAGCAGCTGCTGCCACATCAGCACAAGTGGACGATGATGATGATGTCCCAGAACTTGTGGCAGGTGAAACCTTTGAGGCTGCTGCTGCAGAGGAAGGACAAAAGTCGTAGGTTATTTGAGGTTACATTTTATATTTGCATTATTTATTGCTTTGAACCATTATTTTTCTTTATTTGATACGTTCCATTTGGATGTGTTCTTTTTGTAACTTGTAGGAATATGTATGGTGTTTTAGTCATTTTGTTCTACTTGTTTTGATCAATTCGGTTTCTAAAGTTATTTGTAAAATTTTCCACTGTTTATAATCCCCTAACTAAGTAACTCTATCTTTAACTATATTACCAAAAAAACCAAAATTGTAACTTTCAAGTGTCAAATCATGAAATTTACACATAAAATAGACTCAAGTTGACTTACTAACTTGGTGAATCTACCTGCTTTGTATCACATATTAAAAGTCACAAAATCAAATTTTGTTTGTTGTGTTTTGATGTCACAGCTAACTGATAAATTAATATATTTTTTTGAGCTTTTTAAAATTGTCATGTTTAATGCTACTTAGACTAGTTTTTTAAGGGTTTATTTTTTTTAAATATTCCTTAATTAATTATAGAAAACTTATCCTAAATGTCATTTTATATCATTATATACTAGATGTGAGCTTCATGTATTACATGAGTGTATTTAAAAGAATTAAATATATATAAACATTTGAAAATTTTGAATTTATAAGAAAAATAAAAAAAATATTAAATTACTAAAGTAAAAGTGTTTTTTTTTCTTTTTTAAATTTAAACAAATCATTTACATAAAATAATTAAAGCAATTTAATGAGATTTTATTTTAAAATTGAGAAAATGACAAAACTAATCAATTATACTAATTACATTACAAAAATAGCCAAAAAAAAAATCGAAATTGCAAAAATAGCTTTCAATTTTGCAGATGGAATTGTCCCATTTGTGAAATGATCATTCCATCAGTGAATGTACAAGTTGCTAAAGCACAATTGTACTTTAGCAGTTTGTACATTCATAGTTTTTTTTTTTTTTTTTATATTGAAGATATAGGGTAAAGTCGCAGATGGAATAGCCCCATTTGTGATTTACTCTCGTTCCATCTGCGAAATTGTTATTTTTTTTTTATAGTTTGACTATGAAATCAATTCGGTTGACTACGAAATCATGTTGCTACGAAATTATGTTGCTATATGAAATCAAATTGATAATTTTCTACAAAACTTTTTATATAGCAATTGGTTTGATTACGAAATCATGTTGCTATATGAAATCAAACTGATAATTTTCTACAAAACTTTTTATATAGCAACATGATTTCGTAGTCAAACCAATTGATTTCATAGTCAAATTAAAAAAAACAAAACAAAAAAAAACAAAAATAAATAACAATTTCGCAGATGGAATGAGAGTAAATCGCAGATGGGGTTATTCCATCTGCGATTTTACCCTACATTTTCAATATATATACAGAAAAAAAAACCCACCTGCGAATGTACAAGCTGCTAAAGCACAGTTGTGCTTTAGCAGCTTGTACATTCGCAGATGAGGCAATTCCATCTGCGAAATTGAGGGTTATTTTTGCAATTTCGATTTTTTTTTTGGCTATTTTTGTAATGTAATTAGTATAATTGGCTATTTTTGTCATTTTCTCTTTAAAATTTTGAAGTTATAATGAAAGTCTATTAATGAAATTGATATGCATTTATTATTAAATTTAATACCATATAGATTTTAATAAAATAGAAAAACCACAAAATTACATATGGAATAAAAATTAATTCAAAATAACCACAAAATGACATGTGGTTATTTTACGGGGGAGTCCAAGAGTATACTCCCTTGGATTTTACGGCCCAAAGGCCACTCCTTGGGAGTTTACGACCGTAAGCCCCTAGGCTTGGCCGTGAACTCTTGTTCTCCTCCCAAAATGGATGTTTAAGGCCTTAATTCAATCCTCCATAATTCTAGTGAATGTCTAGGGCCAATTTGGGGGTTTAAAACCTTCATTTGGTTATGTTTTGGGGAGTTTACGGTCCTATCTTGTGCTTGGGACGTAAACTCCATTTTTTCCCTCAAAATGAGTTGTTATATGGTCCTAAGCACTTCCTAAACTCATAACTAAATTCTAGTATGCCTTAGATGAGTTTTTGGGACAATTTGACATGGAAATTGGGTGTTTACGGCCTAAGCACAAGCTTGGGCCGTAAAATCTTTTTTAGGCTCTAAAAACTTGTGTTTTAATGTCCAAAATCATCTAGGTAATTTCCTTAATTAGTATACAAGCTTAAAGGAAGGAAAAACGGGACTTTGGTAATGATTTGTGGTGTTTACGGCCTAAGGGGCTTCATAGGCCGTAAACTCCTTGTTTTCCACTAATTCACATGATTTTTGTGTTCTAAATACAATGGAGTATGTTTAGAACAAGTTAGGGAAGAATCTCTTACGTTTGGAAGCCGGAATTTGCGGTTTTGGAGTCGGAATCGGGTCTAGAGAAAGAAAGTAGTGAGAGAGTGTAAGTTTGGGTGGTAAAAGGGTGTAAAGTGGCATCAAATTTTCTTAAATATGCCTCGGGTATTGCACCCGGTACACGACTACCCGATGCTTAAGTTTAACGGGGTTTAAACTTTTTACCCGGGTGAAGTGGTTGAAAAGTAATATAACTTTATTTTGTTAACGGGGTTAACACTTACAAGTTATATTTACCTATACTAAAATGATAATGTCGAGAAATACAGATAAATAGATATTATTTTATTGACGACTCCAAATATTACGGGGATATATATATATATATATATATATATATATATATATATATATATATATATATATATATATATATATATATATATATATATATATATATATATATATATATAACGACGAATTCCGTTAGTGAAAACGGGGTTATGTAACGGAAATAAATTTAGGTTGTCACATCATCCCCCCGTTAGGGGAATTTCGTCCCGAAATTTAGAATTCATACAGATAAGTATTACAATACTACTAAGCGAAGAGATGGGGGTATTTAAGTTTCATTTGATCCTCGCGCTCCCAAGAAAATTTCGGTCCCCGTTTGGCGTTCCACCGAACTTTCACAATTGGGATGCGGCTTTGTTTCGTTCGTTTTACTTCCCGATCCATAATCTCCACAGGCTCTTCCATGAAGTTGAGGCTCTCATTGACCTCGATCTCGTCGAGTAGAATCACAAGAGTCTCGTCGGACAGGAATTTCTTCAAGTTTGAGACGTGGAAGGTAGGATGTATGTTACTTAGTTCGTGGGGTAGGTTGAGTTTGTAAGCTACAGGGCCGATTCTAGCGAGAATCTCAAAAGGCCCTATGTACCTTGGGTTCAGCTTTCCACACTTTCCAAAGCGTATCGTGCCCTTCCAGGGCGAGACCTTCAAAAGGACTCGGTCTCGCACCTGGAATTCCAAGGGTTTTCTTCGTTTGTCGGCGTAGCTTTTCTGTCGATCCCTAGCGGCTTTTAATCGTTCACGAATCTGTCAATCTTCTCGGTCGTTTCTCGAATGATCTCCGGACCAGTGAGAGCGTTGTCAGGAACTCATCCTTTAGCTAACTGAGTGTCACCCACCTCAGCCCAGCACATAGGCGATCTGCACTTCCGACCGTAGAGGGCTTCGAATGGAGCTGCCTTGATGCTCGTATGATAACTATTGTTGTAGGAAAACTCCACAAGAGGTAAGTGTGTATCCCACGATTTACCGAAGCCGATCACGCAAGCTCGCAGCATATCTTCTAGAGTTTGGATCGTCCTCTCACTTTGTCTGTCAGTGTGCGGATGGTAGGTTGTACTCATATCCAGCCTCATCCCTAGTGCCTTTTGTAGTGATTGCCAAATTCTTGAGGTAAACCTACTATCTCTATCGGAGATAATAGATATAGGGACGCCATGCAGCCATACTATTTCCTTAATGTATGTTCTTGTGAGTTTCTCCATCTTGTCTGTTTCCTTGATGGGTAGGAAGTGTGCAGACTTGGTCAATCTGTCGATGATGACCCAAATGGTATCCAACCCACCCGCTGTCTTAGGTAGTTTGGTTATAAATTCCATTGTAATCCGCTCCCACTTCCATTCCGGTATCTCTGGTTGTTGGAGGAGTCCTGATGGCTTTTGATATTCGACCTTGACCTTCGCACAAGTAAGGCACTTACTCACAAAGGTAGCGATCTCCGCTTTCATGTTAGGCCACCAGTATAGCTTTTTGAGATCCAGATACATCTTATCTGAACCTGGGTGAACGGAGTATCGAGTGTTGTGTGCTTCCTTCATGACCAGATCTCTGAAACCTCCATGGCGCGGAGTCCAGATTCGATCCATGAGATAGTATGCTCCGTCACCCTTGACCTCCAAAATCTTATCCATTCCGCGCAGGGATTCTCCCGTCACATTCTCAGGCTTCAAGGCCTCAAGCTGAGCCTCCTTGATCTGTGAGGACAGATGCGAATGGATAGTCATTGTCAACGATTTGGTTCTTCGACCAGAATGCTCTTTCCTACTCAGGGCATCTGCTACCACGTTGGCTTTTCCCGGGTGATATCGAATTTCACAATCGTAATCGTTAAGTAGATCGACCCATCGGCGTTGTCTCATGTTGAGCTCCTTCTGGTTTAGTATGTGTTGGAGGCTCTTGTGATCAGTGTATACCACGCTCTTCGTCCCATACAAGTAGTGTCTCCATATTTTTTATGCGAAGATGACCACTCCTAACTCGAGGTCGTGAGTAGTGTAGTTCACCTCATGCGTCTTTAGCTGTCTTGAGGTATAAGCGATGACCTTACCTCGTTGCATCAAGACACAACCGAGCCCCTGATTCGATGCATCGCAGTATACAACAAAATCTTCAACTCCTTCGGGCAGGGATAATACTAGTGCGGTGCATAAAGCTTGTTTCAAGGTCTGGAATGCCTTCTCCTGTTTCTCCTCCCAATTGAATGATACGCCCTTCTATGTCAACATGGTGAGAGGTTTCGCAATCCGAGAGAAGTTTTGGATGAATCTGCGGTAGTAGCCAGCGAGGCCTAGAAATTGACGAATTTATGTAGACGTCTTCGGTGCTGACCAGTTCTCAATGGCTTTAATTTTGGAGGGGTCCACGTGGATTCCCTCTTTACTAACCACGTGTCCTAAGAATTCAACTCTTCGGATCCAAAATTCGCACTTAGAGAACTTCGCATATAACTTCTCTGATCGTAGGGTTTCCAGGACTTGTCGCAAATGATCCCTATGTTCTTGCTCACTCCGATAAT